TGCTTGGTGATTTGTTTTGTAACTTTGTTCAACTTTTCAGCTTGCTCCTGTTGCACACATCAGAGATAAGGCTTGTGGCAAGGCCACGATCAAAGCTTTGTGGAGGGGTTAAATTGCACTTTTAAAGCCTCAAGCCTTCACATATTAATTGCTACATTCTGATCAGAACACTACCAGAGGCATATACTGTAGAAAGAACTATGTACAGTATATATGGCTCTGGACACTGCCTTTCTTTTGAGCACAAGGCTACAACACTGCCAACTCTTGTGCTGTCAGTTGTCCTATCAAAAAGAGGCTGTGTCCGACTGAACCATTTGACCTGAAAGAGTGGATTTTGGCTGCTGGCGTAATTTTTTTTTTGTTTTCTTTTTTCCCCCTCTCATCAGTCGTATATTAACCATTTGTTTCTGCAAGGCAACGGTACATCTCACCACTATGGCATTCTATCTGTCACAGGGGTGGAAAGTAAACCAGGGTTAAAACATGATTTTATTATTTAAATAAGAGCATATACTGTGTTAATAGTGCAGTACTACAAGGGCATTCATATGTAAACCAAAAACAAAAAAGTGTCTGTAATGCATTAAAAAATAAAAAATAAAAAATAAAAAAAAGAGACTGCACTCAAGCTACCATCAAATAAAATAACTTGGATGCAGACATGCTTTGTTTCACAGAAGAAAAAGAAATCTATAAATCCATGTTCAAGGCACTACATTTCTTCAAATATCTTTATCATAAATACTGTCCTGTTTATGTATCTCAAACCACTGGTATTTGGATTCCAATGTAGTGTTTAACGTGTACATAACACAGAGAAAGGCTAAATCAAAAACTGCAGTAATAAAGAATAAAGTGAAATTCGTTTTCGTGACCGCTGTCTTGTATGGCTGAGTTTTAGTCAAGACCAAAGCCAAAAAGCATTAGGTATTCAGACATACATACTTAACATGTACTGTATAGTATACACACATATGCACATACACACAATTAACTACAGATATAGGTGTTGTATAAAGAATATCAACACTCGCATCATGTTATTTACAAGATCCGATTATGTACATGTGTGGCTCTGGTGAACCATACACACCAACACATTTAAGTAAGCAGATTAGGTAGTCCTGGTAGTTTTCGGACAGGGCCCACTCTCTGGGTCGTGCATGACCATAGTAGGGTAGGCTTTGATCCCTGGGTTTGCCATTGTGGCATAGGGCATCATTCTTGCAGCACCAAGCAGGCCTACGGGACCCATGGACCCTACAGGACTAGGCATGCCAGGCCACTGCTGGGGGTAAAGAGGACCTGGAACCATCCCGCCATAGGAGCTTGCTGGCAAAAGATACCCAGGAGGGAGCATTGCTGAGGAGTTGGGAGCTAGGGTTGTGGGCATACCAGGGCCTAAAGCAGCAGTCAGGGGGCAGGAAAGAGGCAGCTGGAACTTGCTTGGACCAATATGGCATTTCATCTGAAACAGAAGGGAGTGGTTGTACAAAGTGGTGCATAGACCTCCTTACATCAAATGTCACAGATCAAAGTACAACCCAAAATCTGATCCTAAATCATCTCCATTTCGAATACCTCGCGCGTAGCTGCTCCCATGGGTGGCGCTCTGCCCTCTAGGTCCTGCTTGCGTCTCTGCTGTTTGATCTGGTTCAGGGAGGGGCGTGGTTGATTGGCTGCCGCAACAGTCTCCTTGGTCCAGTCGTCTACCAGTTTGTGAAGATCATCAGTGAATGTGCCTCTTTTGTTGTTGCTGTTGTTGGTCTGGACCTGAGCGAGCCGCGTGATTGGCTGAGGAGATGGTGAGGGCGTGGCGGTGGTGAGTGAAGGCTGTGTCTGACTGGCGGCTGTCTGAGCTGTGGTGGTGTTGAGAGAAGACCCTGAAAAGACACAAAAGGTCTTAAAAATCTGTCCGGTTCAAAAAAAATTGGACGGTCAAATCAATTGGCTGCTGTATGGCGTAGTTTAAGGACACGATGACCCTATAATATCACCTTCATGAAAGCCGACTTTTAATATGCTAATAATAGTCCTATTCAGTTTTGTTGAGGCCAGAGTAAATGTGTATCCAACTTATTTACTGTGACACCTATTTTGCCAACAGAGCAGCCAAAGGATTACAACATATATGACTTTCATGAGTAATTAGAGAAAAATGAAATGTTTGATATGCAAGCAATGACAAAACCCAGCTATCCAGACGTCGACACTGCCATGCAAAACAACAAACGTAAATGAATGCACCCACATTTTCAACAATAACTGCCACATTTTTCAAAGAGACAAAACAAAGAAGAGAAAATAAAGTGCACATACAAAAATAAGGAGGACTAAAATAGTGAGGACAGAGTAAGAAAGACAGAGAGTAAGAAAGTAAATGAGATAGTTACTACTACTGCGCTCTTTGCCTAGACATAGTCGTTTCAGAGTGGACCCTATAAAAAGGTAAAACAGCACAAGACAGAAACAGTTAGGCCAGGACACACTGCACACCACAAGTATGTGGACAAGCTGCTTCAAAAGCACATTCAGCTATCAAAACAATTGGGGAGAGAGAAAGAGGAAGAGGAGGACAAGGGGTTTGAAAATCAGTGAGGAGGACTGGAAGAAAGAGCCTAGGTGTTCTATTTTAAATGGGCAATCATTTAAAAAAAGCTGACTATTACAAAGTGTACCTGACAAGCTTAGGAAAAAGAGAGCACACCTAGCCTGTGTGGTTTTGTGATGTTGCATGTAAATCAGTTCCTGCATTTCTATCCATTCTAACCATGCCAGGATGAAAGCCATTATATCTTACGCTGCCCTGAAAATGTGATGGAAATGGTTTTCTTAATTACAACAGCATTGTGTTGGACAGAAATCTGGTAAAATGAAGTCACTATCCTCAATCGCCTTTGCAAATAATTTTGATTTAATTGTCAAGATTTGGTATGAATTAATGCTGCATTAGTGGGAAGGGAGAGACCATAACAAGATAATGAGTGTTTTCTAAGAAAGGAAGACTGGAGCCTGGATTAAAAAGAGATCCCTTTGTCGATGTGAGAATGCCTGTGAAACAAAACATGAAACCAAAATAAATGAAACTTCGAACTGAAAGAGCACACAGATACTAGCTGGAACTCATCAGAGTCAGCAGTTGTCAGAAACATGCAGGTAACTCAGGAGAGGTGGAAGGAGAAAAAAAAAAAAAAAAAGTAGTAATATTGATGATACAGCCCTTCATATGGCGGAGCAAGTCTCCATCAGTGCCCTGCCTGGCGCCTGCACCATGCACGTCTTCTCCGTCCAAACATGAGGGACAGAGAGAGCTCTCCGCTACCTCAGCAAAGGGCCCTGCCTATCAGGGAAGGGCTGGGGGGCGGGGAGGTGGTGGGGTTTCTCTGTGTTAGTATACAGAGGATTTCTGACTTGGGCAAAATACCTTGACTTGGGAGATGTTATACAATCAAAATTAACAGTGGATGGAAACACACAACAAATCAATAGGGTATAAAGGCTTTGGTAATCTCTCTCACATGTGAGACACACACTTGAACAAACAGGCACACTGTCTTGTTTTAAATCTGACCTCAAGCCCATGTTTGGAGAGAACTAGCCCCAGTGTGCTTGTGGGGTCTGCTTTTTTTAAAGCCAGAAGCACTGCACAAAGCATTTGTATGAGGAGGAGGGGGCAGTATACCCACAAATGAATGGATGATTGCCAGAGGAAAGACTGCGTAAAGTCACTTGCAGCCTGGGAATTCGAGGCCGCACACATGGATCTATGAGAGGCATCCACACCCTGGAAATGTTTCCTTTTCAATCTTCATGCAAAGAAACTGACCACCAGAGACGGTGCTTCCCATCTGGAGGACTAATAGCAAAAACTTTATGAGCTACACTGTGAGGGTGTTGGTAAGATGGCCGCTGCTCCAGGATTACACAAGGCCATATTTACACTGTATTCAGTGCGCAAATGTACATCAAAGCACACGCTGTTATAGCACAGTCATCTAATCTACCCACTAATGCAGACCAGCATTTGAACTTGATATCAAGAGGTACAGGAATTACTCTGAACCTGTATTCATGAACAATATTTTCAACAATAGATTCAGAAAGCCTTTGCTTTGATAAAGGATAGCCTCTTATCTTGGCATAACATACAAAACAACAAAATCACTGCTGCTGAAACTCATCTAAATCTAAATGCTTGCTTAAGGTGCATTAAGTCTGAAGTCATCCTGCAACTGTCGAGTGATGAAAAAAGATACTAGATCAAAAGAGGTTGATTGAAATTGAAGATATAGCTGTCAGCGTCAATTTTCAAAATGCTTTTTAAAATGCAGGCCTCTCCGTTTAAATTGGTATTGAATTTGCAACTCTGTTAAACATGCGTAGACAGCTCTCTGCCAGTGTCTTTCTTAATACGACCACTGGGGGGCAGACCTTCAAGCCTCAAGAAGACAGATTTTGTTATTGGAACTCTATCTATCTTTCAGTGCCACAAACACTTCTGCATCAGTTACAGTGTCTAACAGCAGTAACAGGGGAAGGGACTTACAGCAAAGTCACAAGCTAAAACACAGAAATATGACTTCATTGACTGCCTGAAGATGAAAAGGAAACACATCCTGGCCGCAGAAGCCTTTGATACTCGTAGCACGTGCCTACGTTAGCTAGAGTTGCTTCAGTTGATATTAGTTTTGAATACCAACATGTGCATGTGAAGGATATCCTCTGGCGGTCAGGGAAAAAAAAATAAAAAATCATACAGAACACAAGCTTTGAGGTCACTGAGGGAGGGGACGAGTGGTAGGAATATAAAATAGGTAATGTATGTGAGGAGGCCTGTGAGGAGGGTGGAATAGGAGATCCACTAAATTACATATAAATAAATAAAAGTAGTTGATAGAAGAGAGAGGCAGGTTAAATAAAGAGAAGATGGAAATGAGTGAGGGGAAATAGAAAAGAACAAATACAAACAGATGGACAGAGACACAGGTCCACTGAGGAATCTAGTGCGTGGTTTGCTACTAGATTTATAGGTGACTCTCTCTGACGTTTGGTGGTAAACCGTCCAGCCTGTAAAAATGAATATAAGAGGGAAGAAGAGAAGAAACAAGAGAAACACTTTGTAAAAGTGCACACAGACTGGGATGAGAAACCCCCACCATCAAAAGCACCAGCAATGGATACTAAGAAGGAGTGCAAGATACGCAGGATGCCACTATATTATCTGGTGATTAATGAGACATTTCAGCCAGTAATTACAACTGATAGAAAGCATTATTAGGGGGGAAAAACAACCAGGTAAGAGTATTGTGGTTCTGTGTGCTTGAATTTTGACCCTGACATTAACTGTTTGTCTATTAATTAATTAGTTATTGTTTATTTCATGGGGTCACATAAAACTGTGAACAGTGTTTATAGCTTGGATTGTAATTTGAAACACCCACCCCTAAGATTGCTTTTGCCATGACAAAACCAGAAAGATAACAAGAACCGACACAAAATATGAATTGAAAGTGTTTATACAGTGAATTTGACTGAGGCTTGAATTTAACAAAAAACAGTTCATCTAGAAATCCCCATTCATCAGCTGCACAAAGCTGTTACATTCACATTATTTTAGGGTGAACTAAATTAAAACATTTCAAACTAAAAAACATGGCAAACTGCTACAACTTCAAGTATACAAAGTCAACTAGTGCCTTGCAAACGAATTTAAGAGGTACAAAAACATTTTACAAGGAGGGATACTGTGGGTCACTGTAAGTTTCTTCCCTGTCATTGCCACCTCCAAAATATTGTTAAACTACAAAAAGAGCTATGTTTTATTATGTTTTATTATGAGTTGTCAACAGGGGATATTTATTGTTAGAACTGAGACACAGCTCTCGGTTTTACAGTAGCCAAGTACAGAGGCAAACCTTTTAGCCTTAAAATGTTTCTATCCCTATTTTTGTGCAATTGTTTTAAGTTGCAGTATTAGACTCATATGTTTGCATTTTAATAATTTGGTTATAATAGCTACTATACTGCAACAATTTTCCATCTTTTCATTTGTTTTATGTTTTATTTTTAGGAACTGTGTTCATGTCCACTTCTTGGTATGTAGGCTTGGACAGTATCAAGGTATTATGGTATGACGGGGTATTTAGAAATCCCAAAGGTATGATTTTCAATACTGTCAAAAACATTGACGCTCCTCTTTCTTGTGGATTGATCTTTTTGGCTCTTGGTTTGTTTATTTTCTATGTGCTGCGTTTGAATTTGAGTGGGTGTGTTTGTTAAAAAGATGTTCTGTGCTTTGTCTTGTAACATTTGAGTCGCTTCAAATTGCCCCTTTTTATAACCACAGTCTGCCTGTGGGAAGAATGAACATTTAAGAGTCCGTCCATTCTGAATGAAAAGCTCTATTTTCACTGTCTAAGGTTATCTTTTCAGAGGACGGCATGTGAAATTACTTCTCTCTGACTCACTTATTTCTCCAACTGTTTCTCATCCCCCCTCGTGTCACACAAGCAGCGTGTGTCTCTCACTCACTGAGCCTAGCTCCAATGCACATCGTTGGCCAAGAAGCATCATGTGAGATGATTCTGGCCTGTTAAACCAGTCCCATAAAGCTGCGCAGGTTGAAATAGTAATTCTCTGACAATCTACAATGACTTCTATCACCAGCAGCTCAGCGTCTATGCTTTTGTTACACAGAAATATACCTTCATATACCATAAACCTTGGTGAAATGTCAGGAAGGCATGAAAAAATAGATACTGCCCAAGCCTAATGGTATGAACTGAATATTAACTCCCTCTTGTTTTTCCAATTTATTTCTCCCAGCGCTACATTAAGCATAAAGCACTCAAAATATGACCTGAATGTACTTATAATATGAATTAAGAATGTGAAATTGTTTTAAAATCTTTAACACTTTAATTATTGAATATAGCGCTAACCTCAGCTTTCAGACCATTATTGAAATGGTATATACCAGGATACAATGCACATATGAAGTTAACAGTTGTTCAGTTAAAATGAGGTGTTCCTATGTGTGTCTGTAATCCTTCAGGGTGAGACTCTTCAAAAATTTGCTAAATGTTGTCCATGGAATGAATGGACAACATTAACACTGTTAAGCATTTACCTTAGCTCTAGTTGCTGTTCTGTAGATAGCATGTCCCATCCACACACACATCAGCATGCACATGAACCTATAATGTGTACCTTGGCCGGGGCCAGCTTGGTTGGCCATTCCATCACCGTGTAGCCCAGCGTAGATATTGTCTGAGGAGAAAGAGCCCTTCAAGGAACAGGGTTGCTGGGTGTGGACCTGCTCTGGGGCGTTGCTGGGCTGATTGCTGGAGCTGGAGCTGCCACTGGAGTGGGCAGAACCATCTGACAGAACAGAACTTTTAGCCGGGGAGCCGGATGAACTGGCAGCACTTTCACCTTGGTGCAAAAAAAAAAAAAAAAAAAAGAGAAAAAAGTGTGAGTCAGAGTGAATCACTCTGAATCACACACTCCTACGGTTTTCTGATCCTGACTCCATTCCTATGTTTTCCACTTGTGCGCTTCAGACTGAAAATGCTCTCCCTTACACACAAATCATCACATAAACCACTTATCACCACACCATCTCAACCCACACACCTTTTCTCTCTGTGGAGGTGTTTAGATTGTTTTTTAGCTGCTGCACCATCGGATTGAGCAGTTTTCCAGCCTTCAGCTTGTGTTTGCTTGCCCTGCGCCTGCGGCCACTTGGGGGTGCGGCGTGAAGCAGACCAACATTGGGGGGCAGTGTTTTACCCAGCTCCTTGTACAGATGCTCAATCTCATTCCTCTGGAATGCCTGCAGCTCAGAGATCTCCTTCATGTGTCTGATGAGAAGATACAGGGAGAGAACAAAGACAAATCACTTAAAATATTTCTGGCAGGCTACTTGTCAATTTCACTGTGTTCGCTCAGTAATTTACTCTCCATGAAGTAGCCCACCAAAGACTCTCATTAGGGCTTGCAGTCATGATACCTGCGTCAAGGGACACCCCCTACTGATGCATGTGTCAGATTACTGAGTCATTCCTAAACTTCATGTCTTTCAGAGACTTAACTGACAAATCTCAACTTAGTGGCATCTGAACATTTTATGGGCTTCTACGTGATCATTAATGTTACTGAAAATACTGACAGAAGGTAACAACAGCAAAACTAAATACACAAAAAATAAAATACACCAAAGTCTTTGATGAGCTCTGTGAAAGAAGAAAATGTAATGTTTTTACTGTTGCCTAAATGAATGCCATAATTTTAGCATGGCCTGTCTGCCTGGTGATAATTGGCTATTTTAGCAAGTTACAAACGTTTTTCCATGCAATTACAAACCATAACTTTTGGATTTCTCTGCTACTAGCACAGAAAAGTGCTGTTACTTGCAGCCTTCATTTACACACACACACTTATATTCAATAACTTGGTAATGTGATATCTAAAATATAATCGATAACACTGGGAGAGGACAGGCCTCCTTTGACAAAGGTGTCATGCATGAAAACTGCAATAATGTGAGTGTGGCATCTTCAATACATTAAAAGCCCTCAGTACTGTGAAAACTGCTGACAGACTGTGCAAGACATTCGCGTAGCTGTGGGCGAGTGCATATGTGTGTACGTTACTTTTCTCTCAGTTTCTGTAGTTCTTTCCTCATGTCTGCATCCTCAAACTCGGAGTCATTGTCACTGCTGATGTAGGATGGATGGGCATGTCCTGCAGAAGGCGAGGGAGCGTGACCATTCATTGCCACAGGCTGTCGGCTCGGTGAATCAGAGCTCTGCTCACTTTTGCTCCGACCAGAGCGCCGCAGGAAGGCCACTGCCCTTTTCATGAGATCGCTTCCACTGTGCTCAGACAGGGCATGCGCTGGGGGAGCAGGGTGGGCAGGAGGAAGGGTTACACTGCTGCTGTCCTCATCTGCTGAGTCAGAGTAGAGGTGAGAGGAGTGGTAGCGGCGATGGGTCGGAGTGTCTATGGTCTGGGCCCGGGGGATATGGCGAGGGGTGAGATCAGGACTGGAAGTGGAGGTGGCCTGGTAGAAGTTTGGTGGGGCAGAGTAACGGTTGCTACTGTGGGGTTTAGATGTTCCTGCGCTCTCATTATCAGCTGCAGAGGACCTGTCCACAGCCACAGAGCCCTTCTCTTTGCTCCCTTTGCCCTTGGTCTGGCTGTGAGACCCTCCAGAACCACTAGAGGGTGCTGGGGAACTGTAGGTGCTACCGCTTGTCTTGCCTTTCTCTAAACGACAAATAACATCTGGTGGAGTGGGGATGATCTGGAGGGAAGAGAAACCCATGTTCATAAGAAAATTAGGGTCTGTAAACATCAACAACTGTTGCCATGTTTAAGCAGACAAAATAGCATGACCTGTAATATAATTTAATTTGGTCAAATGACATTTATATTGAGTGGATTCTTACTTGAAAACGGCTTTTGGAGCTATATGAACTGGAGCTGGTGGTCACATCTCGTTTGTTCAAGACCCTGTTAGTGGCTAAAGAACCAGGAAGAAAGTTTTTCAAAACAAATGACTCTCAAACTATCTTGCCGTAATTATGGCTACGTTCACACTGCAAGCCTTAGCGCTCAATTTGGATTTAAAGCTTACAACGGACTTTTTTTGTATGGCTGTTCACATTATTTTTTAAACCTGCCTCATATATCATAACCGGTCATGGTCCCCCATGACAAATGTCGCTCTAGAGTGACGTAAAA